GAGGATACGCAAGATAGGAGAGATAGATTTGAGGAATATGCCAAAGCAAATGACGAACAAAAAGCCAATATGCAAAACGAGGAAAACGAACGCTTCACCACCGGAGAAAACGCTCGCCAATGAGGTTCTTACTTCCAAGCCAATGCCAATAAAGAAGCAGGAGCGGGAGATGAAAGTGTCGGCACTGAAAGTGATAATAATTTCTCGGGTCAATTCTCTTTCATGGATAGTTTACAAGCGATTAACAAGTTAAAAAACCTCGGAAGTATGAAACCCGAAGGCATGGATGAAGGCATGAAAAGTAATAAACCTTACTGAAAAATTGTGTTTAATCACCCCTTAACTTACATTTTCTTATTTATAGGTTTAATAATTGCTATTATGGCGGCTGCTACTAAAAAAGATAAGTAAAAATTAAAAATATGAAGCAAATAATAATTATTGAAACCGGCAACAGCCAAGAAGTAAAAAAAATGCTTGATGAAAGGCAAATTAATTATCGGATTTATTACGAAAATGAGGAGGATTATTGACGGCAAGCGGTCCGTGCTGCTAGCCAAGACGAGCAACGCAATAAAGAAATAGCAGCGTGAGATAAAATTGCTAGTAAAGTGAAATAAAAATAGATTAAAATATTTTATCTGATAAGATTAAAAATAATGGCGGAGAAATTGTATAAATACGGAGAAATCTATTGAGTAAAATTTGACGAGGAAACTGTGGGAACAGAATTAAAAGGCCGACATCCAGGCTTAATTATTTCGGATAACTGGTATAACGAGGAAGGGGAACGAGTAATTGTTATGCCCTGCTCTACTACCTTAAACCCCATTTATCCTTTTGAAGTTTTTATCCCTAATTTAGCCAATAATGGAAGAGATGGAAAAATTATGGTCGACCAGATAAAAGGGATTGATAAAACTCGGTTAATGGGGCGAGCCGTTAATCGCTTAAATGAGAAGCAATTGGAACAGATTAATGAGATAATGTTAAGATTATTTAAATTGAAATTTGGTATTAAAGTTAAATTATAATTATGACTTGTAATCACAAAAACCATTGTCATAAGTGTGAAAAAGCGAAACATCGGGACTTCTTTTTCGCCGTCTGGTCTGTGGCTATGACGATTTTTGTCATTTTGCTTTCCGGTTGAGAAGCCTTAAAATATATGATTTGACCCTGATTGTTTTTAGTGGTTATTTATATAGCTAAATACTTTATTGATAAGGAGGAAAAAAA